CACGTGCGGGGGGGAGGGGGCCCCCCCTGCAGACGCCGCCACCGCGCCAAGACAGTATTTTTTAAAGGACAATGCAGCTGCTCCTCACTTAATGACCTACTTGTTTAATGACTGCCCATACTTTATGACTAGTTCTGCAGCATGGGGAATCCCCTTAGTCTGTGGGAGTCTTGGGAATCCTCTTCCTCATTCTGTCTTTCCTGCAGTCAGAAAATAGTCACTATACAAAGTGTTCACAGTCATACAAAGCTACGTATTTTGTTTATAAATTTGTACTTTATTGTGTACCCATGGTAGTTTTCAGAATAAATAAAAATTATTACACTGGATATATATTATTGGGTTGTTGTATCTTATCTTGTTGCCTTCTGGTGCTTATCTAATATATGCCTTTTGTATGAAGGATAGAAGTATATTATTCTAGTGCAGTGTCATGATATCTTGAAAAATTCCTAGCCTTTGGTACTACGACACACTAAGATGTCACTTTTAAGCTTCTTGCTTATTGACCAGTTCACTTAACCACCTAGTCCTAGGAACGGACTTCTGTTGTTAAGTGAGATGTTCCTATATCTTGAAGTGAGTACACACTCAATACATAGATTTTTTTTTTTTTGGAGAGGCTTTTTTGCTATAGGGTGCGGGCACTCTCCAGAGAGACAGACAGAGAGACAGAGAGACAGAAAGCGAGAAAGCACCCCCCGGGGGGATGGCCATGCCACAATCCCTTCTCCTCCATTCTTCTCTTGGAATCTTGGGTGTGCATGCTCACACCCGGCGTGAGTTTAAGCCACCGGGTCCAGACTTGAACCATGGTCGACTACATGGAAGTCCAGTGACATAGCCATTACGCCAACTGCTGGTCCCCTGAGTACATAGATTTTGAAGGAATGAAGGGCCCCAAATGAGGCTACCTACCCTGAGGTAGATCTAAGAATTGGTGTTTGAAGCATACAGGCAAGCATTGTGTCTGGATGAAGGCCTAGGGAGAGGGCAGGCACACTGTCAGACCTGCCGTTAGGGTTTAACATAGGAACCCAAGAGGTCTTCAGGGTCAAACTGTGCTGAAGCCTCACAATATTACCCTCGGGTTGGCAACTAAACAAGAAAAGAAATTAAAGGTGTGAGGTACTTTTCTTTAAGTGGAAAATGTCCCATAAATTTCTTTTTTAAAATGTAAAGTCTGTCTTGCAGCTTAACTCCTGAAACGAGAGGGCTGAGTTAATGGTGCTGTTTCGTAACCTGCATAATCACACTACCTGTTTTTCTGTCACAGATTGCCTTCTCCCAGCACAGCAATTTTATGGACCTGGTACAGTTCTTCGTGACTTTCTTCAGGTAATTTCGCTTATACAGACTTTATCTGTTCTTTTGATTCAGTCACCTAATTCCATTAATTATCAACTCATAAAAGATAAAAGAAATCCTGTGTTTTCACAACAGATCAGATTTACTTCATATGTGATCCTGAAAAGTTATGTCACTTACAATAGTGTAAATTCAGTCTAACCTGAGAAAATGAAAACATTGGTTTCTATGTTCTGGCTTTTGGGGGCAGCTTTGCATGTACCTTATACTAAATTGTAATTAATTTGGTTCTTCACGGGAGGAGAATTTTGGACTATAACAGTATTTAATCAATAATGATTATTGACATGAGCCACGTGTGGGCTTCCTCTTATTCAAGAGATGATTTTGGTAATTATTCAGGGACGGTTTTTGGTTCATTTTTAATTTGCTATAGGATCTGTGCAATTGCCAGAGAGAGAGAGAGAAAGAGAGAGAAAGCAGCCATAGAGAGATGTCCATGCCGCAATCCCTTCTCCTCCATCTCCTTCCGGGACCTGGTGCACACATGCACATACACGCCCAGTGTGTATATACAAGCTACCAGGTCCAGGACTCAAACCGTGCAGCTGCATGTAGGATCCAACCACCATACCACCCACTGGCCTGACAGAATTTCCTCCTTTTAAAAAAATTATTTATTTGTTTATTGTTATTATTTTTAACTTGACCAGAGAGAGAGAAAGAGACAGTGAGAAAGTAAGCCACCAGGTCTGGGGTTCACACTACTGTAAACCATGTGGGAGTCCAACACCTTAACCACCATGCCACCTGCCAGTCCCCTCTTGATTGAGTTTTAAAGCTAAAAATGATCCTCCCTCAAGGAGTCTCTCTTGTTTTTGTAGTTTTTGCTTAATTTTATTTTTATGAAAACATATACAAATAATTTTTAAAAATAAGGACTGTGGTGCTTATCAGAGAAAGAAGCAACCATCCCCTTCACACCTCTTGCTCGTACTTCCCCTGAACTTAAATTGTTTCAGCTATTGTTTACTTCTCTGTGCTTATACTAATTCTTGATTTTTCAGTTCAGTTGTCTTTTGATGTCCTACTGTAGAAGATGAGGGTTTGCTGTCTTACATTGCCTCATCCAAAAACTTCCTATTCCACAGACATACAGAATTCCCTTCCTCCCACTCGTTTAATACAGTTAATTCACAAAGCTTGGCTAAATCAGTGATCCCTATTAAAGTTATTGAGACCATAAAATTCTTGTTTATAGAGTAACTGAACTGATTATACTCCCCCCCCCCCCCCTTTTTTTTTTTTGTTGTTTTTTTTT